GTGTGTGTGTGTGTATATATATGTATATATATATATATATATATATATATATATATATATATATATATATATATATATATATATATATATATATATATATATATATATATATATATATATATATATATATATATATATATATATATATATATATATATATATATATACATATATATATATAGATAGATAGATAGATAGATAGATAGATAGATAGATAGATAGATAGATAGATAGATAGATACATATATATATGTTCATACACACACACACACACACATACACATAGAGAATGTAGGAACAAGAGGGAATGAGAAATGAGAGAAAATGAAAACTAATGCGAGAGAATGAGAATATGAAAGTATAATATAGAATAAAGGGAATGAATAAAGGGAATGCGGAAATATGTGAGAGACCAGATGATAGAATAAAGAGAAGACTAAGAATAAGGTGAGAGAATAAAGAGAAGACTGAGAATAAGAGAGGATAAGAAAAGTCGAAGGGGAGAGAACGATTGAAAATGAAGGAGAAAGAGATAGAAAGGGGGAGAACGAGACAATAAGGAGTGCTTTTCAGTTAGAGAGAGATTTTTGTTCTTCGACTTGACCTCATACTGGGGTGGCTGACCCATGATCCCTCCCCAGGGAGCGTGTGCACAACGCGTATATGTGTGTGCATGAGAGAGAGAGAGAGTGTATGTGTGTTGAATGTACACATTTCGTGCATGTGCTTGTGCACACACATGCCTCTGTTTCTATGTATATTTGTGTATTCATGTATGAAATGCATTTGAAGGAAGGGGAAGCGGTAAAGGGGAATTGGGGGAGAGGAAAATGCTCGATGAGGGAGGGAGAAAAAAGGAGGAGAATAAGTAGAAATAGGCTGAGATATTTTAATACATGATTGACTACGATTGTCAGCTTTGTCATTATTATTCTCAGCCATTACACATACCTAAAAGGTTTGCACTGACCTTTATTCCATTGCTAAATGGGGCTGCAGGGTTTAACGTTCGAGATAGCCCGCGCCATGCTGGTGTCACTTTGCCAGACGAAATGAATATTTCTTAAAAGGTTATTAACAGACAATGTTATTTTTCTCGTGGCCAGTGAAGATTTCAGTCTGTGGTAACTTTAGAAACTGTTATATATTACCGTGCAGTTATTGTTTCGTTCAAAACATTTTAAAATCAAGACGTAGGGAAAGTAACTGTAATGTACTCCACACGGGATCCGCGATTTCTCCTTCATCGCTGTTATCAGTATACTTCCGATGTTTTGCCCACAATTTCCCTGCTTTATTCCTCATCTGTCGCGGCCACTATCGTCGCTATTATGGCTTTCTATGGACTAAAACTATCACAAAGAACAGTAAATTTCATAGAATACTAAAATTCGTAAGTATCGGCGAGCTAATGCTTCCGTATAGTATTACCAAGTTTTGTGTGTATATTTATCTTCCTCTTCTTTATATCTTAATCTTTTATTTGTTGTTCAATAAAGGTTCATCATCTTTGCTTTATTTCACTTCTTTCCTTCTCATGTTCAGGTTTGTTTTCAAATGTTTTTAAATTCATTTTAATCCTTTATTTACTACCCTGGCTAACTGCACGGGCGTAGGCAAGATGTGGTACATATCATGCATATGGTCATAACATTATATCATGGTATTATATTTGAATTTTAGGCTATAACATTATTGTGATAGATATATATCAGTTCAAGGAAAGGAATGATTACACAGTCCTTTATCTACTCACCTGCCACGCCGACGTACAGCTTGGGTGTGGAAAGGCATTGCTACATTTAATATGCGGCCATGTGATACTACATTCCAAATTTAGGATGTAACATAAGTTATATCATCTGATGAGTTTGAGTGTGTTATGTACTCTGCAAAACAGTGCTGACTACTACGCCCTGAGAGAAATCAATACAGTCTGAGGGATAACTTGCCTGTTCAGAATTATTCTATCAAGTACTTTGCACAGACAGGAGGTCAAGGAAATGGGTCTGTATTTGTCAGTATTGGGTTTGGGTATACGAATGATTAAGCTTGGGAGGATTCCTTGTGATAGCCTGAGTCTATACAAGTGAAAAAGTGGATTGCCTGGCACCTGAGCAATGTGGCGAAGGACGCTGTAAGTAATGCCGTCCTCGCCTGGGGCGGTTGTCTTACCTTTCAAAAGGGCATTGCTCAGTTCCCACTCGCTTATTTCGACAAAGTCGGAGGAGTCAATAGCAGCACATGGCTATTGCTATATTGAAATTTCTTTTTTCGACTTGGTGAGCTGA